GTCCAAAATTCAAGCAGGAAAAAATCACCTAGATCAACTATGTTGTCCAACAGGAAGTGAAATATTCGCAATTCCTAATACAAGAAAATTTCACTCTTTTATAAAAATTGATGATTACATCTTAAAGGCATCACGTAAGTTTAAATCCTAAACAATATATTAAATTTAACATGAAAACGGGTGAAAGTGAAGATATGAAAATGACAAAAAGAAAATAGGTGTAGAAATGCGCGAGAAAGATTCCCCAGTTGAAATACACAAGACAAAAATAGGCAATTGGATACTTGTTCCATTTTCTGGAAAATGTAAAGTGAAGCATTTTGCTGGTCAGGTACTAGATAAAGAAAAAAATTTAATTAAAGTGAAATTTTTGCAAAAAAAAAAGAAACTGTTTCATTTGGACACTTAAGGAAGATATATCATATATAAATCTTGAAACGAACACAAGGATATTGCCTGAACCAAATTTTGATCGCAGAGGCTGTTTAACTTTCGATAATTTTGATTTTTCAAGCTTTATAGTTGGTTGATTTCTTAATTTTTTTCATTAGCTTGTGAAAAAAATGATAATGTAGTGTCTGTCACAATCTACGTGTAGTGTCAGTCACAAAGAATAAGTGAAATTAAAAATAAAGAAAAAAATCTTAAACAATTTTGCAATTTATTTTCATTGAATACAAATACTTAAATAAAATTATGTCTGAGAAATGATTTGCTTTCATAGTTTAATCAGAAGAAATTTGAGTTTAAAAATTTGTCCAAAAACTGGCTTCCATTCTTGTAGTGTCAGTCACACTTACTCAAATATTGTTATAATTAATAAAATTAGGTCCCTAACAATAATTTTTTGTGTTCTAAAATTTATTTGCATTTTTAGAAAAATATTGATAAAAAAATAAAATTTTTAGCTATAAAAATATTTCTTTAATGTATCTTTTCATTTGTGAAAAATTGTCTGATGTAGTGTCTGTCACACGTGGAAATAGCCAAATGCTATTCCAAAGGATTTTTGTACAAGTATAAATACAGAAATCTTTCCCAAATAATCATTTAAGAAATGGTTAACCATTAAAACTTTATGTGAATAGATATATTCAGCATACTTCATATATACAGCACAGCAAATATTTTAAAAATCATTTAGAAATTCTTCATGTAAAAAATTGTGGCAAATGTTCATAAATTTTCTTTTTAAAAAAAAAAATCCCAATGAACAAATTAGATATAATTATTTGGATAAAGTTAAACTCATTTGTCGACCAATATGTGAAGAGCAATGTCTTGCAGTGTATTCATTAAGGAAAAAAAATGGGAGAGAATTTCTCACCCT